ATGATAGAGAAACGTCTTTAGGTGAAGCGTGTGTCGGAGCGAGGCACTTCCACAAACCTGGAGACTGTACATTCTTCTGCTCAGAGATCTGAACTAAAGGTCTTTTATCTGTTTTTATCTGTTTTTGTAGAGAGAGACGTGAGAGAGACCAGAGAGAGACCAGAGAGAGACCAGAGAGAGACGTGAGAGAGACCAGAGGGAGACCAGAGAGAGAGAGCAGAGAGAGACGTGAGAGAGACCAGAGGGAGACCAGAGAGAGACCAGAGAGAGACCAGAGAGAGACGTGAGAGAGACCAGAGGGAGACCAGAGAGAGACCAGAGAGAGACCAGAGAGAGACCAGAGAGAGAGGCCAGAGAGAGACCAGAGAGAGACCAGAGAGACCAGAGAGAGACCAAAGAGAGACCAGAGAGAGACCAGAGAGAGCAGAGAGAGAGAGCAGAGAGAGAGACCAGAGAGAGACCAGAGCGGGACCAAAGAGAGACCAGAGAGAGACCAGAGAGAGACCAGAGAGACCAGAGAGAGACCAGAGAGACCAGAGAGAGACCAAAGAGAGACCAGAGAGAGACCAGAGAGAGACCAGAGAGACCAGAGAGAGAGAGCAGAGAGAGAGACCAGAGAGAGACCAGAGAGAGACCAGAGAGACCAGAGAGACCAGAGAGAGACCAGAGAGAGACCAGAGAGAAACCAGAGAGAGATATAGAGACACATACAAAGTCTTGTGGTTAATATTCTGCTCCTGGTAACGACCCCTGACGTCCACAGAACCATGTGAAGATTTAATTGGAGTAAAACCTGGTCTGGTGCGATCACAAACTGAGGCGTTCATAAATATAGAAGCAGTTTGTCGGAGGCGGAACTGTTGCCTGGAAACTCGACTCTGCCAAAGACCAAAGACCAGATCCGAGACCAAGATCCAGCTAACGAGGCCCTACGCTTTGTTCCACACAAGCACAGCTCGGCAAACTAGAGGTGGACTGGGAAGTTTGGATTAGAAAGACCTTAAAGCAGCAATATTATCATTAAAGGGCCTTAATCTGCCATCATTAAAGGGCCTTAATCTGTCATCATTAAAGGGCCCTAATCTGTCATCATTAAAGGGCCTTAATCTGCCATCATTAAAGGGCCTTAATCTGTCATCATTAAAGGGCCCTAATCTGTCATCATTAAAGGGCCTTAATCTGCCATCATTAAAGGGCCCTAATCTGTCATCATTAAAGGGCCTTAATCTGCCATCATTAAAGTGCCTTAATCTGTCATCATTAAAGGGCCTTAATCTGCCATCATTAAAGGGCCCTAATCTGTCATCATTAAAGGGCCTTAATCTGCCATCATTAAAGGGCCCTAATCTGTCATCATTAAAGGGCCTTAATCTGTCATCATTAACTCATTCACTGCCCATGACGACAAAACTCGTCATGTTGAATAGTAACGCTCACTGCCCATGACGAGTTTGACGAGTTTTTCATGTTATTACACGGGAGGCTGCAGTAATGTCTGGCGCACCTTGTGAATGACCCACAATACTGATATATAGTGCAAATGTACCTGTAATGATAAATCAACACCAGTAGGATGCAGTATTGCGCCACAGGAGAGGTCATAAGTCAGTGGAAAGAAGGAGGAGGAGTGTGGGAGTGTTTGGAGAGCGTGGTGCTGTAGCAGAGCGATGATAGCGTAGCATTGAGACGGATCAGCGATCTAGTTTAGCGATAGTATAGCAAGAGTGATGGCGGAAAAGAATAGTTATAAGCAGTGTACACTGCTTCAGAGATTGACTCGCGGATCAGTGAGTGAGGTCGAGAGGGGAGAGAGTGGAGACCCCGGTGGAGGTCCGTCTCTGCAGCCCAGAGCCCAGAGCAGAGACACACCTTCCGCCTCTCGCAGCGTATCAGCTGCTGTTGTTACTGATGCCTCGGATTCGTTCAGAGAACCTGATCATGATTTATCGGATGAGTGGTTGCAGTCTCAATCCAGCAGAGCATCCTCTCCAGAAGCTCCACAAAGAGTCGAAGGTAAGAACTTGCTAAATTGCCAAGAATATGCTAACTTGAGAGGAGGGAAAGGCGCGGAAACTTGCTCTGATCTGCTAAGTAACACAGCGCTCAAATCCTACTGTTTCTTTAGTAAATGCCAGTTATGTGTTTTATCATTGTTGTATTTATTATTTTTATGTTTAGTTATTTCATACTTGAACATCTTGTTGCAGTGTCATAGCTCTGACTAAATGAAATGTGTTCATTCACAGATTCTGATAAAAGAGCCCTCCCCCATTGGGGTTGACAGAGCATGGAGCAGAGGTAAAGATAATTCCTCCTCATACCATTGTACATATTTTTGTATATATTCTCCTGGTATAGTGATTTACAAATTTATATTATTTACAGGTGGTGCATCAAGAGGCAGTTGCTGTGCACAAAAAAGGTAAAAGAACTATTTCTATTCTTGTACATCCCATGGCAATATAATATAATAATAATAATATAGTATACTGTGTTTGGTCCAAAAGTAGTCAGTCTATAATGTGGGAGGAAGGCCTTCATTGTATTTTATGTATTGATTTATTGTAACAAATTCACTGTATAATATAGTTATTGTGTGTATCCAATTTCCAGCACGTTCGTCACCCAGAAGCTCTGGGGAAGATGGCTGACAGGAGGATCAGTGGGAGCCGAGTCAGTCCCTTCACAGGAGCTCCTGGACCTCAGAGACTGCGAAGCTGGATTCATCTGATCCAGACTTTCTGGAGCTGGATTCATCTGATCCAGACTTTCTGGAGCTGGATTCATCTGATCCAGACTTTCTGGAGCTGGATTCATCTGATCCAGACTTTCTGGAGCTGGATTCATCTGATCCAGACTTTCTGGAGCTGGATTCATCTGATCCAGACTTTCTGGAGCTGGATTCATCTGATCCAGACTTTCTGGAGCTGGATTCATCTGATCCAGACTTTCTGGAGCTGGATTCATCTGATCCAGACTTTCTGGAGCTCTTCTTCACGGAGGGAGAACTACAAATGGTACACAGCGTGTCGTGTTCCGTTGCACACAGTGTTTCAACCTCTACAACTCAAAGCTGAACTACTGGGAGGACTGAAAAAGCTGATAAACTCACTCATACACACACTCACGAACACTCACACGCACACACACACGAACACACACGCACACAGACACACACACAGACATTCACACACACAGACACTCACTCACACAGACACTCACTCACACACTGACACACACAGACACTCACTCACACAGACACTCACTCGCACACAGACACTCACTCACACAGACACTCACTCGCACACTGACAGTCACACACACACACACACTCAAATTCACATGCTTCATTCTATTTTATACATCTATAGTTTTATTGATCTTTGTGTTGTTGTTGTTTGACGTTTTGGTTGATGGAATAGAAGAAAGTTAAATTTTCTATCTGTGAATAAATTGCCAACAATTTGCCATCAAAAGTATTATTTCAGAGTCATGTTTTTATAATGTTTGTAATGGAACAAGTGTGAAGATGTTTTGAGTTGTCACTAAAGCAGCAAAAATGCATCTAAAGTCTCTTTTCTGCTTGATATGTTCCTGTTTACATACAGCTCGTTTTCTCTGTTTTCTTGCTCAGACCAGGTGTTATGGGTGAAAGTATGCTTTGTTCTATGGCGAATAGCTCAAGAACGGTAAGAGGTAGAAACAAACTGTTTTTTTCAGAGTAAAGCAGAGAGGTTAATCTTTAATTTGGTGCCCTTGGTGTTTACATCGTCTAAAAAATTAATATTCTGTGGCACTTCAAAGTTGGGTCAAATCACCTGAAATTGCTGGCAGAACGCACTTCTCAAATCTGAAAATGCCTGGCAGTCAGTGAGTTAAAGGGCTCTAATCTGTCATAATTAAAGGGCCCTAATCTGTCATCATTAAAGGGCCCTAATCTCATCATTAAAGGGCCCTAATCTGTCATCATTAAAGGGCCTTAATCTGTCATCATTGATGGGCCCTAATCTGTCATTGTTAAAGGGCCCTAATCTGTCATCATTAAAGGGCCCTAAATCTTGTTATTGTTTTTATTTCGATGTCCCGCCCTCCACCGTTTCACCAATCAGAAAGTCTGTGATCCGGGCGTCAGAACTCACCGCGTGGAGCTAATCTCACTGGTAAAGTACCATGTGGCGCAGAACTAAAAAAAGTCTTGTTATGATTCTCTACAATGGTTGTGGGGACATGGAAAGGTTTTGATGATGTTATGGGTAAAAGGTATAAGTAATAAGTAAGTAATCTTTATGTATATAGTAAATCTCACACACAAACCTCAGGAACACAGCAAGCTGATGAGCTAGCATGTTTAATGTGGGATTGGAGGGAGAAGGCTTTTTCTCATTTTTATTACCAGAAATTTACCGGAAATTTACCAGAAATGTCCCGCCCCTTTGCAACCCGAGCTGCGCCACATGGTTTAAAACCCAGAGAAACAGGAATGAAAGAAGAGAGTTTGGACAGAGATGGATGACATCAGAGGAGGAACAAAACATGTGTAATGTATTTGATACGACTGCGGTGAAAACATGAATCATTATCACAGAGAAAACACACGATTCATGAAAGTGGGTCTCTTCCATACGACATGTTCAAACCATAGACTGTAAATATTAACGGACAGAGTCACGCCTATGTCCGCCGTTCAAATGGGCCAAAAATAGTGCTCTACTGGAGCTATCCAAAATGGCCGCAAGTGGTCCCGCCCACAAGAAAATTGTTGAAAAACGCAACTGCGCATGCGTCAGCTGCGAGAGCCCCATTCATTTGAACGAGTGACTTCTAAAATCCACAGCGACTAAACTAGACTGGTCCAGAACACTCAGCATTGACACACATGTGGAACGGAGCTTTGGGCCAAGAGACAACTTTTGGACCATCCTGTAAAGACGTTTTCGAGAGGTAAGAAGATGCTATATGTTAGCATTGACTAATTCTTATTCCGGGTCCACCCCCACAGGCCCGGGGTGGTACTGCAGCATGTCAGCACACGTCATGTTGGACACTTTTGAGCCGGGACCCGCCAACACTGG